TTTAAATTTTCTTGAAATTTTTGGTCGTTACATTGATGTTTTAAGAATCAAAGAAAAGTGAATAAACTTAAAGGAAGTATATGCTGATTCTGATCGCGAAGATGGATTTCGATCGCATAGTTCTGTGATCAGAAGTTTGAGCTCTTGCTTAGGAGTTATGATATATTGCTTAGGAATAGATAACAACAAAGTTTTTCCATATGCTTTTGCACTGTAAGGATAAGTTTTTCCACAAAGTCTTAAAATTAAAGGATTTTTGATTTTATTTATTCTAAATATCCTTATAATGGTATTTGTGGAAAATTGTTGCTTATATGATTCCATTGATAGCAATATTGGAAAAAAAATGTATTTGTTTCTTTCATTTGTGGTAATGTCTAATTTACCAAATAAGGAAAGATTCTTATCACCCAAGGTTTCAGTTGGATAGAAACTTGGAATCATGCAAGTTGTATAGCATGATGAATGAGAACTTTCAAGCATTGGAAAATTAAGACTAATTGCTTGTACTACTAGAAAAACAGCCTTTTACAATGCTCATTACGCATCGTAAAATGCTCAGATGACGCGTACATGCGCGTCAAGAAAGGCTATGTCATAAAGAGAGACGACGTTCATTTACGACACGCATTTGTGACGCGCATTTACGACACGCATTTATGATGCACAATTGTGACACGTAATGCGTATTAAGGAAGGCCCTGACATAAAGGAAGAGGACACACATTTGCGTGTTGTAACCTTAAGACGTGCATGTTTATGACACGCAATGCGTATCAAGGAAGCCCCTTTCATAAATGAAGATGACACGCATTTGCGTGTCATAAACTTTAGTAACCATTTACGATTTGCATTTACGATGCGTCTTTACGATACTCATTTATGCATAATACAAAATTTTGTAAACAAATATATACTAAAACAATCAATTTCATCGAATAACATCATGACAAAAAATTGTAATACATTTATATTAATGGGATCTAATTGTACATTGTTACTAAGAGGTTTTCCCTAACTATATAAGCTAATACTATATTGTTGCAAAGTAATGCTACACAAAGATGATAAACATCAAATTCTAACCAAGTAGAGTTTCATCTTGCGTTTCATAATTCTTTAAGACTAATGAACCCCTGCTCCGATAGTTCTTGTGTCCTGATCAAATAAAAGTCTAAAAATTAATATGCTAATATAATAAATAAAAGAATCAACTAAAATTGGAAATGTACACGAGGCTGCAACTTTTGACTAAACCGGTTCGAATCCCAATTCAACTAAAAGCAACTTTCTTTTTGGAGTGTCCCTTTTACACTTTCAAGTAGTTTAGTCCTTTCATGTATGGCTTAAGTAGAGCTACTTAGTGAGGGCGATGATGTCTTTTTACAATTAGATCAGTTAGGTCAGTTTTTTTTTTTTTTGGTATAAGTAGGTGGTTTGCTGACTTATGGAGCTTCCATGACCAATTGTATTTAATGTTTTTAATCACAAAAACTTACCTCTAGTTGTACCTTTCCACCACCTCCCATTCCCTCCAATTCAACTAGCACCTCACGGAATTTCCTGGTAAACATGGTTCTATGCTTTAGAGACATTATGGTGGAGATTGTTTTCTATAGTTTATAACATAGCATCTATACAACATTATATATGAGTTTACAAATATTAAATATTTAGTTGGAACTTTAAGTTAATTACATTTTTATATTTAATTTAAAGTGTTAGATAGGTAATTAGCTAGCTCTTTTTTATTTTTCAAGTTATTTAGTTTTCTATTCGACTAACCATTCTTTAAAACACATTATATTATGATATATATGGAAAGTATTGGAAGTTTATTTGATATAAAACGTGATGAGTGTCTTGTAGATTGATTATTGCCTACTACAATCAATTAAATAGGGTACATTTCCGTTAAGTAAATAAGAAACAACTTGTTTACCTTTAAGATTTTTCCATTCAATCTTTGATCTCCAAAGGGAATTCTAACAATCACAATTTTACACTTCTCAATAAAACCATCCTCATTAAATACATGTCCATGAGCTTCTTGTGCTTCAAGGGTAGTTTCGTCCCAAAATGCTATATATCATACCTGCATACACCTTTCTATGAGTATGCGGACATTAGAATTAAGGATTTATAAATTAATAGTGACAATATCACCGTAATCAAAAGGATTCCCAAGCACAGAAGCTGCAACAAGTCCACTACTATGAGGCATGAGCTATATCCATCATTAGAAAATCACCAACAACAGCTGCAATCTTTTCAAGTGCAACAATCATACATGTCATTATTATCAAAAAAAGAAAAAATCAATATTATATTAATATAAAAATATTATATTTTGTTGGAAACAAAAAAAGAAAGAACACCTGTAGATTCATCAAGACGATAAGGCATAGATTCAAAATATATTGGATGTTCCTGAAACCCATCTTTTTGGTGTCATGAATCCATGAGACAAGTGTCCTCCATGAGGCAAGTCCATCCCCTGAGTTTAAAAAAAATTAATTAAAAGCAATATCCATCTCAATACCCAAAAATCAAAAAATAAAAATACACACCATTATACGGTCATGAGGCTTCAGAATGACTGTATAGATCAACACATCAAAACCATGATATTAAACAAAAAAAATAGAGAAAAGTCTCTTTAAATGCTTAAACAAGTGTAAAGTAGTAAAGGCATGTGGCCTAAATTTCCAACCTATATATCACTAGAAAAATGCATATTATAACCTTTTTCTATAAACAGGAAATTAAAATTTTTAACTAATTAATATTTTAACAAACTATTATGTTGACAATTAGCATCTAGTGCAATAGGTAATTGAAACTTTCTGTGATATTTTTTATTACTTCAACCAACATCATACACCCATTAAATAACCCACATCCACAAACTGATTTTGCTTGTAATTTTCTTAACTTCTACCAACTGCATCATAGGAAATAACTAACAGGGGTGAAGGGATGTGACCATGTTCCAATTTGTTCCACGAATGGCAGAATTTTTTTTTTTACCGAATTGAATTTAGAAAACTTACCTTAATGCTTATTGCCTTCATCTATTGTAAAAAAAATTTAAAAATTCACCAGTTCAATGCCTTCATCTATTGTAGCCTTCCAACATTGTAGGGACAAAGTTGGAAACTTTTTTATCTCTAGTTGCCTTGTATGGTTCAATATTCAGAGACAATCCACCTCGATAACAAGAAATGAGTTTATGTTAACGTTTTATAAATAATTAGTAAATATTAGTTTATGGTTGTGCACATATCAGATCCGTCAAGTACTAAGGCTCTCTTTGATGCAGCTTCTATGATAAAAGATTGACAAATAAATAATGTCTCAAAAACAGATATGGATACAAATAAATAAACATATCACATATATGTAAAAACCAATGATCTTTTTATATTCATAACCGAAAACTTATCATGGAAATCTCATTGATCTTCTATGTTTCGGGAAAATTTAGACAATCTATTCCAATAATGATTCCATACCCTTCAAAAAAATTATGAATATCATCCACTGTTGGGTATAGTTCAAGTGATCTTGATCTGATCCTTTATTTTCTAATTAATCTCTAATAAAAATCTCTCTAGTGGGTGTCAAGATCTGGGAAAATAAGAACCTATAAACAAACTCATAAAGATGAAGAGTACGAGAACATAATTAGTTTAGCTATGTCATCAACAAACTCATAAAACTTACTCGATAAAATAGATTTTCCATTGAACTTAGCTACTATACGATGTCTAAATAACAAAAAATTTCACTTGGGACATTCAACGAACACCTGGATGACATCCAGGTTGGGATATCTTCCTTCCATTCATATGTACTCAGACAGAGTAACTTATAACCAATTCAAAAAAGAAACACAATAAAAATAAATGATCAGTACTAACAAATAGAAAAAACAAAGATGCAAATATATATTACCAAGCAATGAGATGAGCCGAATTGGTAAGTGTGTCACAGGGAGCTGCGATGGATCAAAACGAAGAGATGGATTCTTCAGTCGTTGAAGAGGTGAACTCAAATCAGAGATGGATTTTATCCAATGCCATATAAGGAACAAGTTCATTAAAATTATTTGCAATCCCATCACTACCCCCTGCAACAGCCTAAACCGGCAAAACAAATAGACCCACTAAGCAAAATAGAATGATGCAAAAAAGTTTGAAGCATTTCAATCCTAATCAAAAGATACTTTTGGCTTCTTCTGTCGACCACCATCTCTGGAATCGGAATTATCCAATCCTTTGTTCAATCCAATTTATTTCCATTTTCTTTCACTATCTGTTCATCATAATCATTCATATACAAAATATTATAAGCAATAGGGACTTGAAGATACAAACAAACTAGTTTCTAGAAGCTTTTCAAATTAACACATTACCTGAACAATAGAGCTTGTTTCTAGACCTTTTCTAACAATGAAGTCATCACCAACAATTTGCCACAGGTTATTATCATCTTCCCCAATTGTTTGCCCCAACCAAATATACACTATCTCGCCCATACTCCTACACAATGGTCTCCAAACTTCCCCCTAGTGTGACAGCAGATGGTGGAATTTTGAAGTTTGAAATGGATGACTTGATTTGTCCCATGTACTCATTGTGGTACCATATTTTATGAGGTGTTTCAGGTTTACGTGAGGTGGATATTGGGTTGGTGATCATCAACTCATGGTGGAGTTTCTAGCTCTTTCATCATGAGTTGGACATTCTGGACTAATCTTGGATATTGCTTGTTCTGCATATACAATGGTTAATATTGGGTTAGTCATCATCAAATCCTAACAAATAGATTGTTAGAGAGAAGATAAATTATATATAATATGGCACACATACTAAACATGCCAATATTCGTGTAAGCTCCATCAAATGATCCTCTTCACTTGTGTTAATATCAACGAGGGTTGGATAAATTATCGACGATGGAGATTGTTTTGCCAGCATGACCAAAATGCCCTCGAGCTATTTCCTAACATCTTCTTCAGGGTGAGAGCTTAACCGAGCAAATAGTTGAGGAGTTACTTCCAACAGAAAGGGAAAACAATACTAGTTAGAACAGAACTGGTTAGGTTACTGTTATATAAAAATAGCAAAAGGGGTCCCACCTACCTTTCCATGCCAACAAAGGAACTGTTGAAAGTGCAGGTTCAAGGGGAGCTTTTAACTCCACCCCACAGTTAAGGATAATATGCAGGACATGAAGTGTAGCTTTCAAGGTATAACTATAACTATTTTGACCTTCTGTTTGACTACCCCATAACTTGAAAGATGAATGTGAGAGGTAATTTATATAAGCTTGAGATGCATTCGCAAATAGAGATACACTTCTCTTTCTCAAACACCACCAAACATCAACCAACTTGTTAAAAAATACACTTCCCTCAATGTCAATATTAGCAAGAAGAAAGAATTTCTGCAACTTGGAAGCAACAACAGCATGGCATGCAAGTTCTCCAGCTGCAGCTTCTATTATATTCACTACTTGCTGCACCACGACATGAACATTGTTGTTATCTAAGTCTTTAACATCTCTTTCTTTCGGAAGAAGCTCTGAAACAACATGTTTGACTCTTGAGACCTCTTCTTCAGTTAACCTAAACCTATCTGGTACAAGTTCTAAATCAAGAATTGGAGAAAACGAGCAGGATTTACATAGAAATGTGCTAAAAAAGAATATATACACAAAAACATTAGTTAATTTAAAAACTCATCCTTATTTAATTCAAGAAAAACAAAGAAACATACTCATACAGCTTCAAAATGCTTTTCAAGCATACCTAGTTCCTCCTCATGCTTTGATTCCCACTCTCAGTGCTAACTCAAGCATCCGATTTCTGATCCAAATTTTAAAAAAAAATCAAAATATTATGAAAAGAAAAAGATGAGAAGGCATTGGATTTACTGTAGTTTCTGCCTTGGTTAGAAGTATTGGTAACATAATCAAGACCCAAAAGACATCAACATCAAAACTAAAAGACATTAGTACAAATGAGAAAACCCTTTTCCCAATTCTAGGGCTTCACATTATCAAAGGATCCTTGACCAAATAACAAAAAAATGAATTCTAAAATCAAGCATGTCATAAAAAAGATAGAAAAGGGGAATCAGATTCACATACGATGGAAGAATGATCGGCGACTCCAAGGGTACAATCGACAAATCTGAAGTTTGCGGTAATCAATAACCTCCAATACCTCACCGAGCATCACCGGAATATGACTCTCGGTGTCACCAAATTGACGAAATCTCTCCTCATCGAACTTTTTATCCGATCGAGTCCTCTTCTTCACTACAGAATCTATTAGAACTCGATGACTATTAGCAGTAATGGAATTATCTTTTCAGTTTAGCTTTTTCTTGTTACGAGTATGAGCAAATAAGGTAGTGGAATAATTAGCTACTGCGAGAAGGGAAAAGGAAATTTGGCGGCGGTAGCAATGCAATGACGATAAGGTGAATGAAGGATGAAATAACATTTGCTTAAGGCGATAAGCTGAATACATATGCAAGGTTTTGAATCTCAATTCAGTATAGAGAATGAACCAACCACGATCCATCAAAGAACCCTAGGAGTGAAATTAAAGAACCTGTGAAGATTTTAGTTGTGTCAGAAAAGCGAGTGGTGATGATATTAGGTTTTTTTGGGTATTGATAAGTGAGAGAGAAGAGCGATGGAAACAAGGTAGAGGATGAAATGGCGGACTTTCAAACTTTTGTGATTTTCATTTCCCCCAAGCTGCGAAAGAAGAAAACGCATGTTTCATTAAATAAAATATAAAGCGACATCGCTACACGACATTCATATTAACATAGGTGCCCTCCATATTTTTAATTTTTTTATTGGACATTAATTTTAGGGCACGCAAGAAATGCGTGTCCTCTATTGTTGATTTTTTTTTAAACGGACGTTATTTTTAGGGTGCACACAAATGCATATCGTAAATCACCGTGTCTCATTGTTTGCGCGTCATTAAAGGGAAGTTTTCTAGTAGTGTTGTTTACATGGATGTGTGAGTCAAGTAAAGGATTAAGGGATCGAGTACACATTCTTGTGCACTGATTAAGTCCACCACAAAAGATCGATAATACTATTCATCATGATTTACTAAAGTTTAGTAAATATGGTTATACTTACAAGCTTAAGTATAATTATGAGACATTGAAAAAGTTCCAAATGTATGACAGAGCGAATAAGAATAATCAAATTAGGCAGAAGGATAAAAGTTTCTCAAATCTGAAAAGATGGGAGAGTACTTTAGTATCATGTTATACGATCATCTTAAAGATTAAGAGACCTTATCACAATTCATCCTCTAAGTGCATTCTGATAGCTAAGAAGAGGAGCTACGAGTTGTTGAAGTGGTCAAATCAAGAATATGATTCATATCCCGTTCCAAAAACAATTCTTAGAGTCATACTCTAAGATTGTAACTTGGGTGACATATCTTAATAGAAGGTTTATTAACACTAGTCAAATGTAAGAGTAAAGTGTGTCCTACTCTTGTACATTTGAAATTGGTGAGTTGTGATGTTTTGGATAAAACAAAGACCAACTAAGACCAATTGTGTGAAGTATTTGTCTTGATAAAGAATCCAAACTATTTCTTGAATATTTGGTAAGATAGTCTTATATGTTAAGAGGACAGTGGGAGTCTTTAAGATCTTGAAAGAATTTCAAGATCTAATCAAGAATAAAAACCTGTATTTTAACACTAGCACACGACGTGAGGTTTATAACCTATCGTGTTGACATATTTCTATTTTTGTGCCCATTCTAGTTAAAGTTGGCTTTGCATATGAGTTCTTAGAGTTCTCAATTGGTTGCATAACAACTTGGAAGCAATGGAAGACCCTTGAGTTGCCAGGTGGCAAGAAATTAAGATTGAGTTCAGTCCATATGTGTTTGGATTTGTCATTATCCTTGTCTTGTGACTATGGTTTTGACAATTCACATGGATAACAACACATACACCATAAAATCTAAGGGTCATAAGGTTTCTCTCCGATTCATGAAAATGATGGTGTGGAAACACTTCCACCAAGTATATTTGAAACAGATAGCAAAGATCTAAACCATTAAGACTATGATTACAACATCCCTTTTCATAGTTCTGAAATTGTTTAGACATACATGTGTGCTATCTAAGGAAAGGTGTATGATTTTGATAAAGTTTTATCAAAGCATCTCGTATCAGAAGTCTGAACTTTGGTATGAAAGTCAATATAGTATTGTTTTCTAGAAGTCCAACTGATTTCTAAGTACATGTCAAAGCTAGTGGGAGCATAAGTGTTATGCTAATAATCATCATGTTAGTGGGAGCATGATAATCATGATAAAGATTGCAAGTTAGCAATGTTAATTATAGAAAACAAAAGTTTCGATTCGTGGAGTTGTAGGGGTTGAAAAGTTGTTTTGCTATAATTAAGGGAGAGGAAATTATACTTCATTTCAATTCTAAAAGCTTAGATTGAGGTTTTAATCATATATATATATATATATATATATATATATATATATATATATATATATATGAATTTTGTGTTCGAATGGCTCAACATAAGGAAATTCTATATATGGGTCTATTTTATGCGTTCTAAAATTTGATTATGATTATGCATCCATTTTCATAATATGAATTATAAGAACTTGGCAAATATAAATATTGTAGCAAAATACTGGTCTAATATCATGTCTTTATGTGAGACATCATGAATTGTATCCCATATGATTCAGATATAGGATCGATTGCATGTGCTATAATATTCATCCTTTCTAAATTTTCCAAATACCGGGGGCATCAAGAGGGAAAAGGTCGAGAATTGGATATGACTAACATCTTTAAGAAATTGTCAAGGACAATCTAAGGTTTACCAATGATTGGTTGCTCAGGGACAATTGGAAGTATAGTGCTGATTTTTGGAAGGACCATAGTGATATATTCTGAAAAGAGGCAACTCTTGTTCAGAAGTGATAGTTGAAGTGGGAATGTTTCATAGATGGAAGTTATTAAATCTATGTAAGATTAGAAAACTTAATGCAAGAAGGATGTTTCCATGGAATTGATCTCCATTGGAATACTAGGTAATGTTTTTTGACAAGTCTTTATGACTTTGTGCATACTCGTTACAAGAGGAAAAATGCATATAAGTTTAAAATCTAATAGATTTCGATAAATGATAAGGATTTGGGAGTGTGAAATTATAATCATGGTTCAATTGGTTTATTTCACAATGTAAAGATCATAGACAAACATAGTGTTCATACTTGGTGTATGGCATGACTAGTGTTTAGAAAACATAGTGTAAATGCTTGGAGCATTGGACAACTATTGTTTTAATTCAATAATAAAGTTGATAGCTGAAACAGTACGCAATGAATAATGTGTAATCATATGGTGATAATTAAAAGGTGTTTTATTTATATTCATAAGTTCTGAGACCATATTGGATTCAATTATTCTTGTGTTTTATTTTACATGTTTTGACTTCCAGAATAACTAGGTCGTTCTCCCTAAATGACTAAGTTATTCAAACCATCCACAGTCGGTCATATGTTGGAAGTAGATATGAATCAAGACTTTCATGGGTTGGCTTGTAGGGGTCTAAGATGTTGGACAAAGTAGTGCTACAACACTCATGAGTGTTCATAAGGTATGAGTATTGGATTCAACCCACGTTCATTAGAATCACTTCATGGATTTTATCACGAGTGATCATGAGACGATAATATCTTATATTCTTCAAACCCAGAGATATGAGTTGTTACTATGAGTTGGTTATACATTGATTGCACGAAAACACATTGGTAACTCGATGTTATAAAACGTCCCTTTGTGTATGATTCAACAAGTAGTAGAACAAGCCATATGAGTCGAAGTTTATCCATTCCTTTTACATTCGGGATAAAAGCGATATCTGTGGGCCCCTCGATGATTTGGTGATGACAAATGTAAGTGCTCGGTCAGGCTTGGACTGATTTGATTTGTTCAATTAGTCAGTCGTCATAAATCTGAAATCGGGAAACAACAAATAGACAGAGAGAATGATTATAATCCATGTCTCAGTCCATATGATATCTAGAGGAATATATGATCTCTTATCTAATGGACAAGTCATTAACAAAGGTCAGAGATCATCGACAAGGTCAAAGTTCGACAGAAGCTTTTGAGAGCTACGATTGCCAGTAGGTTCTTGAAGTCATACTTATAATAATATTTTTAGACTTATCTAAGTAGGAGATTGTTGGATTAATGTCTAAGTCCATAACTATAATTGGTAAGACTTGACCCGACCCGACATGGTCCATTTGGGTTGCATGACATCATGCATTTGGATTGACTATAAAGAGAGAAATAACACTTAAGGTTTTGTTAATATATTATAAGTTCTAATATATATTAATAAGATTATTTAATTAGTATTGATCAATAATTAATCTAGAATTAATTAAGTGATCAAAAGAAGACTAATTAAATATATGGGTTGATTGTGTAAACCATCCATACTTTTATATTGGGCTAATGCTCCATGGATTTTCAAGGTTGGCTAAAACCCATAAGATGCTCCATGGATGCTCCATGGTATATTTGAACCCATGGATCCAAGGAAATGGAAAACCATGACAATTAGGGTTTACCCTAATTGTCACTAACTATATAAGCATCTTATTGTTGACAAAATCGGCCACTAGAGTATATGTGAAAGGGCTAGCCGATTTTCATGAATTGTGTATATTCTATCAAGTTATTCCAAGTGTATTTGGTGTTGTGTGAACCATTTGATGTGTAACACTTGGGGCACTACGCACTCAAGCTTCAAGAAGACATTCTACTTCAAAGAGTTATGTAATTCTAACTTGAGATATTCATATGAATCAATGTTATTATGCTAGTTAGGATGAATACCTTGGAAAGTTCATATTTTCATGTATAATAGAGAAAACATATATCCAAGGTATTTAGGGTTTCATGTACACTTAAGAGTGTTAAAATGATCAAAACCCAACAGGAAGGACGCCTTATGTGCCTGTTATATGTGTATCAGCTTTATGAACTGCATTCTAGTACAAAATAGGCGATATGATAGCTGAGTAGTGTCTGCTTGATTATGTGTACTCAATGCTCGAATGCTGCTTTCTTTGTGCTTTTAGGAGTTCTAGTTGTATTTCACTAACTAGTAAACGAATATGTTAAGTTATATTTGTTGGATGAGGTGTCTAAATCCATAACTATTTCTAGTGTGTACTCGACCCAGTTT